ATAAGTCTGTATCATAATGTCTGGTGTTTTCGTGTTTGTTGGTTTGTTTTTATTTTGTGGGTTGGTTATTAGATGCTGCTCCAGCCAGCCAGAGAATCCCCCGCCGCCCCGCCCTCTCCTCCCTGTGCCGCAAGCAGCAGGCGCACCTCGCAAACGAAGGGCGTCCTTACTCCCAGCAAATGGGAGATAGAAAACCGATCGGTGCCTATGCCATTCCCAATATGCGCTGGCTAACGTTGGGGCAGCATGAGTACGAGCAAAAAAATTTTTTTTGCCGATACCCGGGATGCCGCCCCCACCACGATGCCGCACCGGGCAACCACCTGTGTCGCCCGTATCAAAAACCGCTACTGGAGGGGAGGGCGGTGCAGCATCCTGTTCTGGTCTGCTGGAGTATGGTGGCTGCAGAAACCATTACAGAGTCTTTGACCTGAGCACTTTCCTCTTCAGTCTGAGGATGCGGCGTGATGCCATGTTGTCAGTTGATGAGATGTCAACAGTTAGGAACATGAGTCAGTGTGGAGATGCAGTTTTTTTGCAGGGTTTATGAGAAATCATTGGACTTAGTTTTTATTTACATTTGCTCAGCATGCTGTCTTTGAAACAGTGTTTTTAATTCCAGATTTTTTTCTGCAGGTGTGGGGCCTCAGAGCTGCACACACCTGACATCAGCTGTAACTTGTCAGGTAGATCTCCATCCTCAGCTCAGTATTACCTGTGTAAAGGTGTGTCAGTGAACTTCAGCGCACAAACCTGGACACAACCACAGTCAAAGTGTGTGTGTGTGAATCAGAGGAACACTGAAGCTGTTCATTCTGCTGCTTCATGTCTGAATCATGCCAACCCCAAATCATAGAAAAAAACAGTGATGTCAGAGTGAAATGTGCAGCACTCAGTTAGATGGTAGGGTCAGGATTCTGCTCTGCTCCGCATGTGATGGCCACACACCTTTTCCAGCTGCTGCACATCAGGATTCCCAGCAGTATCATTTAAGCTGGGGTCAGCCATTTTAATATCTGATTTCAACCTTTATCAACATTAACAAACAGTAATTGTTGAACCTCTGGATGATGTGCTTCTGTTGGCTTCATCGGGTGATGGCCTCCAGCTTGCCTTGGAACGGTTCGCAGTCGAGTGTGAAGCGGGGGGGAATGAGAATCAGCACCTCCAAATCTGAGGCCATGGTCCTCAGCCGGAAAAGGGTGGAGTGCCCCCTTCGGGTCAGGAACGAGTTCCTGCCCCAAGTGGAGGAGTTTAAGTATCCCAGGGTCTTGTTCACGAGTGATGGGAGAAGGGAGCAGGAGATCGACAGACGGATTGGTGCTGCAGCTGCAGTGATGCGGACGCTGCCCCGGTCTGTTGTGGTGAAGAGAGAGCTGAGCGTAAAAACAAAGCTCTCAGTTTACCAGTTGACCTACGTCCCTACCCTCACATATGGTCATGAGCTGTGGGTAGTTACCAAAAGAACGAGATCCCGGACACAAGCGGCAGAAATGGGCTTCCTCCGAAGGGTGGCTGGCCTCTCCCCTAGAAATAGGGTGGGAAGTTCAGCCATCCGGGAGGGGCTCGGAGTAGAGCCGCTGCTGCTCCTCCGCATTCAAGAGATAGTTGAGATGGTTCAGGCATCTGACAAGGATGCCTCCTGGGTGAGGTGTTCCGGGG